GAATGGCGTTAGAAAGGGGAAGAGATGGAACTAGACTTGCAGAATCAATTCTCAGCCACTTGGCCTTATAATTATTGTCCAAAGATCCCCACCCCCAGCCCCACCTGGACTTAGCAACTGCTGGGCCAGCAAGGATCTCACGCAGCCCCTTCAGCCTGGAAACCAGGCTAGGTGGGCACTGTGCTGGGCCAGGAGCTTGAAGACCCTCCTGCTTCTGGGAGGCTGAAAAATCTTTCTTGTTTCCCTTTCAGTTGAGCTGAAGATCTGCATGTAGGAGAAGAAAGGGCCTGCCTAACAGTGGTGGGGTGGCACTTTTACCTGACAATGATGCCAGGCCGAAGGTCGAAGTTCTTATTCACCACATTTAGCAGCTCTCGCTCTGTCTTCTGAGAGGTTCCATAGGTGAAGATTGAAATGGACAGTGGCTCAGCCACACCAATGGAATAGGAAACCTTTCAGAAGAGACCAGGGTCAGGGACCAAAGCCTCTGTGCAGTGGTCCACCCCTCACAGAAACCTTGAAATTCTCAGGAAGGGCAACTGGAACCACACATCTCTTGCCCAATGAGCTCCCCCATCTGCCTAGAAATCCTTGCCATTTTCATGATGGGCAGATTCTGGGCATGCTGCTTGCCCTGAAGTTTTGTATTCCCTCTCCCAGGTTTTCAGGGTACTGGCCACAGTGCCCAACACAACACACACAGAATCATATCCTTTGGCAAAGTGTCTGGCCTTCCCACTGGAGTTGGTGGGGTCTGACCCACCTGTACAAGCACTCTCCGGCAGAGCCCTGCTTTCACCAGGGATTTGGCCACCCAGCGGGCAGCATAAGCTGCAGAGCGGTCCACCTTGGTGTAGTCCTTCCCAGAGAAGGCTCCTCCACCATGTGCCCCCCAGCCGCCATAGGTGTCCACGATTATCTTACGACCAGTGACGCCCGCATCCCCCTGCAAAGGGAAAGGAAGAACACAGAGGGAGATGAGAACCAGAGACCCCAAATGGCTGAGAGGAGAGGACAGTTGAAGCACTGTGATGGCTGCTTGACTACAGCTTGAAAAGGGTACCCTGAAGCTGCCTGGGGGCATGTTTCAAAGGCTCCTTGGCTAGGAGTCTGCCAGAAACTGGTTCTAATCCCAGTTCAGTCGCTGACCAGTTACTGCAGTCAGATAGCCTGTCAGAGCATCAGCAAGTGCAGATGATGGACCAGCTGGAGTCACAGCCGGCTCCTAATGCCTTTGTTTTTATGAGTCAGTCACAGTGGAGACATCCAACTGCAGGAAGAAACTGTGCTGTAATCAATACACCCTGAGCTGTGGCCCTCGCTGGTGCCATCCAGTAAATGCCATGTTGCCCATTTCTTCAAGTGTCTACTCTGTGCAATACCAGTCAATAAGGGAGTTTTAAAAGGGGTAGGAGCTCTATGTTAAATGATTTGAGGAAAGTACATACTATATACTCCTGCTTAGAGAACCACAGTTCACACTCATATGTCTAGCCTTTGAGAGGTCATGCAAAAAAATACAATAAGCTTGACCTTTCCTTCATTTAATCCTGTGTTTCTGCATGACATTTGGGCATAGGACCTGTTATGGGGACGCCACTTTGTGGCAACACATCCATAGCTGAGGTCCCTTGGCAGTGGTCAGCAGTGTCTCAGAGGGGCTATGTCAATCTCCACTTCCTCACTTCTGAGGTAAAGGAGAAAGGTGGCAGCACGTGTCCACATCTAACAAACTGCCCCACTGTAGCGCCCATGGGAGTTGAAGGTAACTTGTGGTAAAGACCTGGTAAGTGCTACCTGGTAAAGATCAGTCATTTGCAATGGTGAAGAGGCAGCCACATGGGCAAGTATGACATCAATTATGAGATGTCTGAAGTAGGAGGGCCAGGCAGCACCTGTGGAAGAATACTGGGGACATGTCCCCAATTCCTCAGGTACTGATGGAGACACAACAGGCCCCACAGAGAGTGAGATGACTTCACATTTTGCCCAGGGCCAGACCTGGCTGAGTCACACGAAGCCACTTTGTATAGTCTTTGTGCTCAGGGAGGTGAGCAACCCCAATAACACACACATCAGGGCCTCAGTCAGAGACCAGGGCGCACCTGGGGACCGCCAATGACAAAGCGCCCACTGGGCTGCAGGTGGTAAATGGTGTTTTCATCCAGGTACTTGGCCGGAACCACGGCCTTGATCACCTGCTCCTTCAGGGCCTTGCGCATATCCCCCAGAGTTATGTCTTCATCGTGTTGCACAGAAATGACAATAGTGTGGATGCGTACAGGGATGACTGCACCATTGTCCTGCATGTACTGAACCGTCACCTGTTGATCAGAGGGCAGGAAGAGACATCATAAGGCCTTGCCCTGACTGAGGACACATCGCTGCAGTTGCAGATACCCAGGAGGTAGGCAAGGGGAGCCAGGGAGCCTCCTGTCCACAAAGGGCCTTCAGGAAAGTTAACTTGACACATTCTAGTATTTGAATAGTTGCCCAATGGTATAAGATGACTGCGCATGATGCTTAAGCTATTCCTTATAGTGGTTATTCCACTAAATTAACATCAGCCTGGACTGAAGGGGAGGCAGGGGGACATCATGACTATCCTCACAAAGAGATCAGACCCATGGTTAGTGCCACTTGGACACTTGGGGTTTTATAGAGTTTCCTCTCTGTGACTCACTAGACTCCTCTCCTTCTATCTCAGAATTTTCTGGGTGCCAACAAATGTCCCCTGGCTAAAGCCCTCTCTTGACCCTCTATGGCCCAGGGTCAGGCTATTCTGGCTCCTGCCAAGGACCTAGGAGTCTACCAGACACATGCTATCTGTGTCAGCCCTTCAGTGGAGGAGCTCTGGAAGCATATAATACGAGCAGACTTCGTGGCTATAGAGACAGGGTGAGAGGGACACAGGCCAGAATGGCTGAGATAGAGGGACCTGCCAGCTCTGGGGATTTTGGTTAATGAAAAGCAGAGAGCACCTTGAGGGATGAAACCTGCCCACTGTGCCCTTGCAGAACAGGCTACAGGGACAGATCTAAAATCAATTCCACCAGCATGGGTCAGTTCTGTGCCCATTCTATGCGTTATCAATTAATATTTAAATCATCCCAGCAAGATAGGCATTATTATCTCTACTTTGCAAATAAGAAAAACAAGGCTATGAGAAGTGAAACAACTTGTCTGAAGACACAAGTCGGTCAGTGAAAAACAAAAGAGCTAGACCGTGCTCTGCTTACTGCATGAGCTTGTGTCATTCCCATAGGAGCACAGACAAAATGCTTCTTCCCCCTGTCCTTAACTGACCCTTCAGTAAGTGTAAGAGTCCCATGACACAGCCTGCTCTGACTGTGACAAGGAGAGCAGCCTGGACACCCTGGGCTTACACTGTGAGAGGGAAGGAGATGGTGAGGATGGCAGATGAGGCTGAGAAAAGAAACTAGCATTGACTGAGCATGCACTGTATGCTAGAAACCATGCCAAAAGCTATGAAGAGCTGCTACTAGTCTCACTTTAAAGACGAGAAAGCTGAGGTTCCAGAACATAAGTACTTTGGTCAAGATCACACAGCCAGTAAAATTCTGCTCTGATCTGGAGCTACATGGACTGGTAGCTAGCTGGGGCTCTGCCTAGCAGAAGGCTTTCACTCAAGACCCTCGGGCCTCACTGCTACCCAAGGTAGTATGGACCCACAAGAGCAGTGCCTGGAGGGGTGAGGGGTGCTGGGGCCTGCAGAGGTGCAGCTATGCCAGAGGGCCCTGGTAGGGCTGGTGGGCATAGCACCACATGGCCCCAGGGCCTCAATAGGACCGCAGGGCAGCAAATAGTGCCTTCCTCTAGCTGTGTCTACAGCAAGATCTCTGCCTGCCCAAGGCCCCTAGATATCCATCAAACACTGGACTTATATCAGACTTTTACTCTGTGTCCTGCCTTGTCCAAAAAGTAATAGGATGGGTCAGGAGGAAGAGAGAGAGCCCTGCCCACATGATGCCTGATCCTAGTGAGATGGGCAGATACATATCAACATCTGTGGACTGAGAACAACCCTTAACTGCTGGGCTGTGTATACCCAGGGCCCTGTAAGAGGGAGCTGGAGTTGGGGGTCTCCCAGGAAGGGAAGCCCTGTGACTGCCTCTGGACCAAATTTGACACATCAGGTCTCAGGAGAAGCCTTGTGCGTTCTGAGATGCTGCTCAGGCCCGTATCCACTGCCCTGCTGTTCTCTGATCTTCTGTTCTGCCCCAAGCCCCAAGCAGCGTCCCTGCAGAACCACAGAACTGTGGCAGAGCAAAGGGCTCCAAGCATCACTCTTACCTCATCATGTCACCCTTTCCACTGCCGGCTGGCTCAGGACCACCCATGGGAGGGGAGCAAGGCCAGCTCTGGTATTCAGAGCAGCATTTTAAAGAGAATTCAGTGTATCCTTGCAGAAAAGGAAACTCTGAATGACCCCCTCCCAGCCTCACCCCACCACATCTCCACCTTCCTTCCCCCACCTTTGCTGCCTTCTTGATTGGAAAAGCTTCTATTACTAAGCAAAAAGGAAGCCTTTCCTAGTTCAGTTGGGCTGGCAGGTGGAGGCTCCTGTCCTCATCTCACAGAAGGAAAAGGAAAGCTCAGCCATGCCATCACTTCCTTCCATCCTTGTTCTCGGATTTCCTTTTCTGTAATCCTCTACTCCACAGCACAGCCTCGGGTACAGGATGGGCAGGGCATGCCAACATCTGCTCACCCTCTTCTTCTGGGACCATCATGATCTTCGCATTTGACTCTCATGCCCCACGACCTTGAAGAACAGCTGAGGAATGCTGCTGATTCTGCCCCACTGCTGTGATATGTGTGCCCCTATGGTGGGAAGGCCAAAAATGTGCTTCCTTGCCCCAGAAACAGCCAATATGCACCCTTTGCTCTGTGTGGCCTTACACTTGGGGTGAGGAGGGTGCATGTCTGTGCAGCTGGAGTAGTGGACAAGTCACATCATGTATCATGATGAGCTATAAACTCACATGAGCCAAATTCCAAGTACAGAGGCAAGAGAAGACCCTATCTGGTGGTGCCCCGGGAAACCATGAGAAGGTGGGGACTTCGCTGACCTCTGATGAACAGGCAGGAACCAAAGAAAGGGCCAAAGTAAGGTTCAGGGTGGGTGCACAGGCGCAAAGCACTAAGAAATATGGGGAACATGAGTGAAATAACACAGATTAAACAAAGATTGCAGGCGGGTAGAAAGAGAAAGGTGACATTGGAAGACCATAAAAGGCTCTGAATACCGGAAGAACAAGTAAGGTTTCCTCCTTCCCCGTAGGAAGCAGAAAGTTGTAGAAGATTCTGAGCAGATATTAGGAAATTGGAAGTGAAGCCCAAAGAAAATTAACTGGAGTTTCTTGGCTGGGAAAATCCCTGGCTGGGACTGGCACTGATCTTTATGCGGAAAGGTGGAGCATAGGCAAAGTGGAGACAGAGGGCGCTGAGCAGGACTGGGGGAAAGGTGGCACTCCATCACATTCCTTTCCTCTGAGTAGGACATGACAGTGAGGTAGCACACCATGGGCTCGTGGGCACATTTGTTTATAGGGCGAATGAGGAATGGGGCTGGTGATTCGGAGAGACCTGCAGGTGAAAGATTTGGGAACTGAGTGAGTGGAGGTGAAAATTGGATCCACAGGTGTGGGTAGAAGGGGAAGGAGTATGGAAGAAGTGCCAAGAACCTTCTGGAATGTGGAAGAGGAGCCAGGGATGGAAGGCTCGAGGAAAGGGGCCATGGGGTCATGGGGGGTGGTTAAATAGGGTGAGACATGGACAGTGAAGATGGACAGGAGGCCTCCAGGAGTGCCGACATTTGCATCACTGCAGGGCCTTCAAATATAGACTTCATTGGGAATTTCAACACTGCAGTAGTGGTCAGGGCCCAAGGGGACAGAGAGTCAGAAACAGCAAAGATAAAGTGTTTTTATGAGAAACAATGAAAAAGGGCCGTAGTGAGATGCAGATGGTCCTTGTTTACGTGGTGTTCCGGCCTTGCTCAAGACATAGAGACCTGCAATGTGGCAAGGCAGTGACCAACAGTCTGAAACCAGTTAAGAAGTAAGTCTGTGGCAGGAACTGGGGAATCACATTACCAGAGTCAACATAGGATCGGATGGCAAAAAATATTTAGAACTGTTCTTTTCAATTTTTGGTATTTTTGAATTTTTTTCATAATAAAATGGAGAGAAAGATTTTTCAAATAAATAGTTCTAATCGTAATCAACAATTCTGTGAGTGCCCAGACTGAACATTTTGATTTTAATAGTAATAAGAATCAAGAGGATTTGGGAGAGCTCCCAGACAAAAGAAGGCAAAGGAAGATGCTCACCTGAGTCTTTGAGTCGGGCCTCAGCCAGGGGAGGACACCGGAGCGTCTCAGTTCCGCCATCCGGGCATTGAGTTTGTGAGCGAGAATGATGGTGAGGGGCATGCACTCTTCTGTCTCATCCGTAGCATAGCCAAACATCAAACCCTGCAGCAGGGCAGAGAGTCAAGTGAGCAACACTCGCTTTAGACACAGGATGACTTTCTTCAAATCTAAGTCTTTGCTGTTCCCCAACCTGTACTGGGTGTCTCATGCATGCAACATTTGTACTGGGCACTTGTGGGGGGAAAGGCATGGTACCTGATGCTCAGAGTTCTAGGAGGGAGAGATGAGCTCAAATTGGTGTCAGTGACCATAGCCTTGCACAGCTGGCCATGCCCTCAAATTGCTGTTCTGAAGCAGGGGCGTGCAGCTCCCTCTAAGCATGTACCTCCTGGCACTTCTCTAGGATGAGGGGTCACCCCACAGCGTGATTAATCCATTATTCAGGAACATTCCCAGCTAGCTCTTCAACACATGTCAGAGCAGGGGCTGAGAAAAGCTGTGCTACATTGACGTCCTGACCCAGTACCCATGCTCGGTGTTTAGTTACCTGATCTCCAGCACAGATATCCCTTTCGTTTTTGTCTAGATGGATACACTGGGCAATATCTGGGGACTGCTGCTCCAAAGCCACCAGCACATTGCAGGTCTTAAAGTCAAAACCTAGGCAGAAGGGAAAGCAAGGCTAAGTGGGGACACACATCAGGCAGAGGGTGGCTTCGAGCTTCCCATTGGATTGTTCCATTCCTGACATGGCATTTTGTGTTGGGGTGGGTGGTCTCTAACTAGCTTGGATCTGTGTGGGCCCACAGCTGAGGCCCAGGATGGGGAAGTCCATGAATCCTTACCATGATGTGGAACTCCTTAGTCAAAGAAAATTTTCTGCTGTGCATTTTACTATATTAAATTATACCTTGATTAGAAATATATATCATACACAGAATTGCAGTATAAAATTCAGATAGTATCTACAGCTGTTCTGGCTGAAGAGCAGGCAGGTGACTCATGGCCTCTCCAAGAGGTACCTCCAAGGATCCAGGTTGAAAACCCAGGGCCCTTCCAACACTGCCTTTCAGAAGCCTAGGTGCAGGCCTAATCCAACTATAGATGATCCCTGACTTAGGATGGTTCGACTTTACAATGGGCCAAGTGATACTCATTCAGTAGAAACCATACTTCGAATTTTGAATTTTGATTTTTTCCTAGGCTATCGATATTCAGTATAATATTCTCTTGTGTTACTGGGCTGCAGCAGTGAGCCTCAGCTCCCAGTCAGCTATGCCCTCACGAGGGCAAACAACCAACACCCTATACAGTGTGTCACTGCATTGGATGATTTTGTCCAACTGCAGGCTAATGTAAGTGTTCCAAGCACATTTAAGGTAGCTAGGCTAAGCTATGATGTTCGTAGTTTAGATGTATTAAAAACATTTTTAACTTATGATACTTTCAACTTTTGATGGGTTATTGGCATGTAACTCCATCATTAAGTCAAGGAGCATGTGCATTAAATGTACTGAACTAATACACTGCTGCTCTGGGAAAACGTATTTCCTCTATGAATGCCCCCATGTGAGAATTGGCCTGTACTTACTGGCTCTCTTCCCAGTGATTCTTGATATACTCCCCAACACATTCATGTGTTCGAGTGAGTACCTAAAGTGGGTCAGAAGGTGGCTGCACCGAGTGTATGTCTGTGCCTCACGTAGTGAGTGGCTCTCCCACTTATAAAATTTTGATGCATCATTCCAGCCTGTCCTGACCCACAAAGATGCCACTAGTCACCCTGAACAACCAGTGATTGAAACGTCAGTGTGCACCAACCCTCAGCACCTGGCCCTCACCCCGTTCTCTGATGCCCCTCCAGGCAGGGCCCCTTCCTAGCCTGCACACTCTTACAGGGCCATTTAGTTCTGTTCAGCTCTCACCCCTACCTGATCACAATGCTCTTTTTCAGCTTTTGCCAGGGCCTGTGCCCCTTCTCTGGGTTTTAGGCTCCCATGCTGCCTGCCAGGGCAGTCAACCTGGGCCAGCCTGCCTCCTTCACCGACCATTAGTTCCAGTTCTGGATTGAGTCATCTTTTTATTTACAGTGGGAAGCAGCACAGTTTAGCAGAAAGCACAAGAGTCCCAAATGGAGCAGCTACTTACTGACTGTGTCATCTTATATGAATTATTTACATCTCTAAGCCTCAATTTTTCTCATCTGCATAGGAAGTACAGCAGAGCTCCTCAAACAATCAAGAAAAATGACATATGCAAAGAGACCAGCACCAGTGCCCAGCAGAGGACATGTCCCTAACAGAGGGCAGCTCCTTTTACTTGGAACTTTTTTTCTCTTCCAAAGCTCCAAGAAGGCAGGACCTTAAGACCAGAGTCAACACAGATAAACATGGCTGGTTTAATGGGGCACCGTAACCATGTTACCAGAGACTTTGACTCCCGGTCTCTGTTTTCCCCTCTCATGCTACTTATACTTCCAGAAGACCAAGAACTTCAGATGTGATTCAGCATCCAACAGAGACCAACATGCATTTCAGACTGGGGCGCTGCTCTCACCCTTGGCAGAGTCATCATAGCCAATGTTCTTGATGGTGTCTCTCACCACCCGCTGGTAGTCCACCATGGCCATGGAGGTGATCTCCCCGCACAGCAGCACCATGCCTGTCTTACACACTGTCTCTAGAAGAGAAGGAAAAAAGGTAGTGGCCATGTGCCAGCACAGGAAAGCTCTATGGCTAGATCTCTCTCACTGCTAATAAATGGATTCCAGACAGAAAATTAAAATGCTAATAAAAAGAGTAAATTTCAGCATAGTTGCTGACCATCTTCAAATGCTGCCTGAAGAACTACGCTTTGGAAAGAACTGGTCACACCTGAGTTTTCATAACAAGCACTTACTACTCGTGTGCTCTTGAACAACTTATTTAGCCTCTCTATGTCTATTTCCTCAACTGTTAGATAAAGATAATAATAAGACTGCTGTGTGGGTTAAAATGAGACAATGGTTGTATGTAGTTATCATAAAGAATGCAGTCAACATATGAGAGGCTCTCCAGCCCTCTTATTGCTAAAACTCCACTGAACAAAGAATCAAGGCAGGCCAACTTCCCCTCCAGTTATTTTCAAAGATATCGGGGTGACTAGACTAATCGAAGGATCACTTCATGAATTATATAAATGTCTAATCACTATGCTATACACTTGAAACTAATATAAAATAATATCAACAACTAATCACTATGCTCACTAATCACTATGCTATACACTTGAAACTAATATAAAATAATATCAACAACTGAAAAATAAAAATTAAATAAAAAGATATCAAGGTGAAGTCTACCTTTAGAAGGGCACAGATCCCATCCTCCTCAATATAGGGGCTAGGGTGACAGTAGAGAGGGAAAGATCAGTCTGTGCAGTGGATAGGACAGGAACCAACAGTGAAGAGAGTAAGGTTCTGGTCTCCATGCCGGGAACCCCTACTCCGTGACTTGGTTAAGACCCTGATTCAGCTGTACTCATGATCCCCTGATAAAGTGAGAGGGCTAGACCTAATCACCTCTGGGGCCCTCCTAACCCTCTGTTGTGCTGAGGGCTTCGATACAGGTAAAGGGTTCAAGCTCAGCCCACTTAGGTCTCCTGCAGGAAAGGCTCAGGCATTTCTCACCACAGGCCACCTTGGCATTAGGGTCCTGCTTGAGATGGGCATCCAACACTGCGTCACTTATCTGGTCGCAGATCTTGTCTGGACAAGAATGAATATAGGTAAGAATCACAGAAATATTAGGTATAACAAACTGAAATGTTAAAATAATTAGATAGGTTGTCAGTTTACATATCAAGTCTACCAAAGACACCTTTTTAAATATAAGAAATTAGAAAAATTTTGAAATGTTTATTTCTTCCTACTTCTGCCGCATTTTCAATGACGTATAAAGTCATAGAGTTCCCTAAAAAAGAAATATTCCAAAACCAGTTCTAAGAGTATAAAGCAATTCCCTCTCTCCCTTTACCCTCCTTCCCCCTCTTTTCCCCCTCCCATCTGAAAAGTCTCTCATTCCTCAGCATATTCCCTTTAATCCTAACATCTAGAAAAGCCCTGGATATAGAAGTCAAAATAGCTAATAACATAAGATTAGGTGCCAAGATGTAAAATCAGAAGGGACAAAAAGATGCATTGTGTGGTAGGTTCCACAAGATGCAATGCACAGTGTATAAAACACCACGCCCAGTTCCATGACTCCACCCATAAGGACTCTATGAGAGAACCTCTATGCATCATTGCTGTTTTTCAGAACATTTCCATAAGCAGCTCTCAGATAATCTCCACAGTCATTCAGCCTCCTGAAGGCTAGATGTTTTAATATCTGAGTTTGACCTCCTCGGTCAAGGTGGGATTGACGAGAGTTCAACACGAGCTAGCCTTTGACTTTATTCTATAATTGCTTTAAAGACTCTACATGGTTGAGCATGAGGACCACTAAATGGCACTGTGGAAAAATCCACTCTTGGTTTGGGTTATATGAACTGTCAATGCTCACAAATTCAGAAATAAAAGTGACATCTATTTATACATATTACACCCCATTTAGTGTCCAAAATGCCCATAGAGTCTGCTCTTAATAGATTCAAAAGTTTTTTTCTCAGTTTATTGAGATATTATTGGTATATGAAAAATCTGCATGTAATTAATGTATACAGTTTGGTGAGTTTAGACATATGTATATACTCGTGTTACAATCACTGCAATCAAGGTAATAAACATACCCATCACCTCTAAACGTTCCCTCTTATTTTTTTTAAAGTTTTAAATTAAGAATCCAGAGCCAGAATCAAGCAGGTCTGCTCTCAAAAGTGCATATTAAGTTCTGTAATTAAAAATGTTAATCGGTCATTAAAGGTGAATTCCTCAATTTTTCCTTCAGAAACTGTTAAAACGTATATTTGAGTTTTTCTATATATCCTCCTGCCAGTGGCAGATCGGCTATAAATCTAAGTTTGTCTGAATTCATAGCTTCTGCACATCCCTACAGTGAAGGCCCGCTGCTGCTCAAATATCTACTTTAGGCTTAGCCATCGGGACTCTGACCATGGATGACTCTGCTTATTTAAAGGATGCAAGTCACAAGTTCTCAATGCACACAGGGAAATGAGAGAAGAGATATTAGGGATAAAACTGGAATTGAGCAAGAATATTAAGATACTCGACATACTCAGGTAACATCTAAAGAACTGTTTCTTCAGGCTTTCGAAATATCTACTGCTATCACTTAGTAGCCTTAGGATAGCCAATAGTTGGTTTTCTCGAACGTTGGAAAAGTAGTATTAATTTTATCTTTCTGGAGGAGAGGAATTCAGCACTGGAATGACAGGGAGAAAGCCACCAAGCCTTATTGGAAACTGACTTACTTGGATAGTTCATTTATGGTGGCAAGTGAAAGTAGAATCAGACAAACTGAAGGTCTGCCATTAAGTAGACAACCAACCAACTGGTTCGCTGGTATTTCTATTCCCTGTCCACTAGACACTTTGCTTTGTGTACGATGAAACCACTTGCCACTGTATACCAGAGTACCTACTTCCTCCAGGTGGAGCAAATCTTAACCTGTATATAGCATTCATAAGCCATGGAGCTGTCTAGAATGTGCCAGATATAGCAAAGGATCTGAGATTATGAGTACAGTAAACCTAGAAACTTTATAAAGTTATGCACAATGAAAGAGGCTATTTACATTGAACTGAGTTAAGTCACATACAAAACCCAGGTTAAGCCAAGGTCTCTCCACAGCAGCACTATTGACATTTGGGGCTAGAAAATTATTTTTTTGCAAGGGTTTGATCTTGTGTATTCAGGATGTTTAGAAGCATGCCTGGCCTTTATCTATTAAATGCCAGTATTACCCTACCACCCCAGCCATAACAGTAACAACAAAAATGTTTCCAGACATTATAAAATGTCCTTGGGGGAAATCATCCCCAGCTGAGAGCCAGTGGTTAAAATGTATGGAAGGAGTAGTGCATGGAGATGGCTAAAGCTGAGTTACAAGATATGAAAGTTAAATCTTTTTTTGAAAGAACAAGGATGAGAAAGATGAAAAAAAAGATAGAGTTGATGATAAGTTACCCAAAGCTTCAAACACTCAAATGAATTTTGAAGAAGTGCTTAAGTACATAAATCAGTGTATCTAGCCCCCCAGAGTTTTCCTAAAACAGTAGTTCTCAAACAGTAGTTCATACCTGCAGCAGCAGCATTTCCTGGGAACTTAGTAAAAATGCAAATTCTTGAGCCTCACTCAAGATTTACTAAATCAGAAAGTCTTGGGGTAGGGCTCAGAATTGTGTTTTTCCCCAAAGTCTGAGAACCACTGTCCTAGAACTTGAGGTTCTGATCATGGCCTTCACTGTCACCACGGAAGCCTGTCTCGTTTCCCCACATTAGTCAACCTACCTTTCAGAGACCATAAAAGTGCTTGAATTTTTTTCCTCTTCAGGAAGCCACGTATACTTCTCTTAACATATCTGAAACTTCCAGACCTAGAGATCTATCTCAGTATCTACTAGAATGTGCTGCCATTCATTTCTAAACTACATAAGCTTTACATGCAAAACTTAGTGACCCACAGTCTTGAGGGAATATTCTCCGTTGACTTAAGTTGCTCATTGATAATAAATTAAAGCTTTACTCAAGCTTTATATATATATATGTATATATATATATATATATAATGTTAATATCTAATATACCTTTTATATGTATGACATCTTTAGAGAACCAGCTGTGTGTTTTCTGTTGCAGCCCCACCACGCTGAGATGCCAATGGTGGCAGCAGCATGGACCCTCAGCTTCATTAACTTACAACTTATCATTTATATAATGAGTGGCTGTTTTACAAAACTACAAATAAACTAAAAAATACTTCATATTGTTCCTCCAGAGATCCCTTATAGTAACTAAATGCTTTTAAGATCTTTAGTAAAAGTGACTCCCTCAGTACAGATCACCAACAGTCCAGGACAACCTACTTACCTGGGTGTCCCTCTCCTACAGATTCTGATGTGAACATAAAATTTTCTTCTTCACTTAGAGAATGGTCACGCAAGCCATCCACTGATCCATTCATCTTTTCACACTTCTCCACTCAGATTCTTCAAGGCGACAATTTTAATGCTGACTTTACTGAGTTTTATTATTTTTTTTCTTCAGACACAACAGGCTTGTTTTTTGGTGGAATCACAGGGATCACTTCTGCCTAACTGCTTGTGAGCATTCAAGAGTCAGGTGAGGATGGGTGAGAAGGGAAGGACTGAATATGGATGTGTCACTCCCTCCAACTGGTCAGACCTTGCTCCTGAGTGACTCCTATATATGGAAAAGTGAAAGCGCCTGCATAATCATGTGAGAAAATTGGAGGAGTCCATTTCCTGGGAGGGAGGGTCTTCTTACCTTGAGGAATTTCAGTCCTTAGCTCTGATTTCCCAAGCCCTAAGCATCTGGTCAATGTATGGGAAAGAAGGCTGTATAGATTCTGCAGAACTGAAGCTCCCATGGGACTCTGCTTCAGCTCTGTGGCTAATCTCCAAGGTTAACATCCCACACTGGAGGGTGGGGGCTGTGGTTACTCAGGAATACAAACAGGCAGCAAGAAACTCTTTTCCAGAGATGTGGTTTAGGCTGAGATTACAAAACAGGGTGGCCTTTGATGTTGGGTGCACCCCCCTGCCACCTACCTTTTCTGGATTGGGCTCTTCCCCTTATTCTACCTTCTCAGAGAAAGAGCATGCACCTGTATTCTGAGTCAGCTTAGATGTTACACAACAGATTCATTTTAGAGGAAAATCTTTTGAGTCCATATTATTCTACTAATAAAAATCATCTAAACTGTCAACCTCTCTAAGATGCTGGCAGTCACGTTAAGAAGCAAGATATTTAAAAAAGTGTCTAGACAGATTATAGAGAACAATGTTTTTTGGAAAAGGACTCTTGAGAGACAGATTCATTACAGGGAAATTGTTCTGACAATTTCTTCAAGCTTCCAGATGATAAATTAACATCTACATGTTCAGTTTCATATACTTGATAAACATCCTGCTCATATAACTCCTGCATTATTTTTGCTTTGACCAAAAAAAGTAGACAGGGTTGTATCTTTAACCAATTCACGCACTAAATGACAGCAATCTCTCACTTCATTCTCTCTCACTCTCAGATCTAGCTATTTCCTCGGGCCCAAGGAACAATAGAGAATTGAGATCATAGAGAATGAGAATGGGTGAAGAAACTAGTTCCCACTAGAAAGCAATAAAAAGTAATCATCCAAAACCTGGTGCATCAAATATTGGACTGTGGGAAGCAAAAGTTAGGATGTAATAGCTTCAACTACCAATTCTGGTGACCAAATCTCCTCTATACTTACAATATGAGCATTTAAAAAAATTTTTTCTGAGACTCTAAATCTTGAGTTTTGCCATATCGATCAGCAGTAGCAACACTATCCATCCAAGCAATTAAAACTATATTGAGGAGACCTCTTCTGGGATAAAGCTAGAGATTTTACGTACACGTATTTCATCAGTGGCATTTAACAATGAGTAAGCAAAAATGCTCAGGCACAGACTGCTAGAAGTTCAGAGGAAACGACCCCGGGAAAAGATAGAAATCAAACAGGGACTTTAGACTATATAGCCTAGTCTTTGTCAGCACACAGGAATCCTATTTGCACTTAAAATATTTCAACATCATTGTCCCTTTGTATGTTTCTTCTGGGTACATTGGTTCCAAATCTGGAGGCAATATGAGCTAATGTTTAATGTGAACTGTAGACCTAGGTTACCCTAGCAGCTGAACCGAGGCCACTATGTTTCAAATTTGCTTTGAGAACAAGATGAAATTTAACTATCAAGTACTCACCAAGGTTCCAAGAGCTAGCAAGAAGTCGGAAAACAAAGCAGCCTAACAGCTCCCTGAATTCCAAAATGAATAAGAGCATCATAGAATGGAGAGGCACTTGGTGGAGTGGGGTGGGAAAATGTCCTGTACAAAGAGGTGGCACTTTCAGAAACATATGTAGAAGGCTTTTGCATTCTGGACACAAATTCAGAGTGAGAGACGGATCTAGAAGTCACCTTGTTCAGTACCCATCTCATGTATGAGTCTCATATGATATCCCTACTAAATGAATCCTGGGCCACCTTATATTTCTTCAAGAAGCACACCAAGCATGGTGGTTGAGAGTGCAGGCTTCAGCTTGGAGTCTCAGTTTTGTCTCTAATCTACTATGAATCCTAGGCAGTCTTGATAATCTCTCCAGGCTGCTGTTTCCTTATCTGTAAATCAATTAAACCATTACTTACTTCATAGCATTGTTGTGAAAGCTAAATGAGATCATTTAGATGTGTGAGTAATGAGCATAGTGGTAGCGCACAGAGTTTAATAAATATTACCTATTATTATTATTATTATTATTATTAAGCATCTTCTATGTACATATATATAATTTTTTTTTTCTGAACAAAAATAGATCATCATATGTAGGCATACCTCAGAGATACCGAGGGCTTGGTTCCAGACCACCACAATAAAGTATCGCAATAAAGTGAGTTGTGATCTTTTTGCTGGTGGAGGGTCTTGCCTTCAATTCGTAAGACACAACACACTGTGAAGCACAATAAAGCAAAATGCAACAAAACAAGGTATGTTTGTATATGTTATTTTGCAACTTGCTCTTTTTTTTCACAATATACTATGGTCTTCTTTTCATACCTCTATGTACAGATAGATCTCATTTTTTACCACTTGAACAATATCCCACAATAGGATGTACCATAAATGGTTGAACCACTCATTCTCTGATGGCTATTTTCAACTTCTTTGTTTAATAACACTACAATGCTGCAGTAAAGATAGTCATTGGCATGCTTTTGTAAAAAGATAAAATGCAAGGCCTTGACAATGCTGAACTAGCCAAAAGATTTCCCTTTGGAACAAAGTTTTAACAGTTAGGTAAAAGAAATAGCACTTCAACCAAGAGTTAAAGTGCTTCAATCATAGCTTCAATCTATCCCTTTCAGAAAGAATTGGCAGATCTTAGCAAAGATGTATTTACTTAGAGAGTTGAGCCCACAAGGACTTCATAGCCCTAATTTGCCATAACAAACTCAAATTAAAGCCTTCCTTATGCACAGACTGTTCTCCCTTATGCGTAAGTTGTCCCAATGCCACCCCCCAGCCCCACGGATTACAGTTTGGTGTGTCAAAGGCCTACAGTTGATCTCACTTCCATGCAGCAACCCTTGACTCTGAGTTGTTGCTGATAAGTCTCTGAAGAAACTTGGCTTTGGAAAAAAATCTCACTTTCAGTCAATTTCACCCCTGATGAAGCTCTACATGTAAAATACCAGATGGAAGACTAGATTTTTAGCAAGCGATGTATGTAAACCACATTGAGCAATTTCATAAAGAAGCTCTGAGGGCACCTGATCCCAGGTAACACCATGAGGCAGCACAACTAGTGGAAAGCACCTGGCTGGATGGTCCCCTTCACTGGCCCCTGCACTGCCATGTCTTATGGCTATGCCACAAGGAGAAGAAAGGGCAGTTCTGATGACCTGAAACTCTGGATGCAGATGTGGAACATGCATCCACCTCTTAAATGCTGTTTAGCTGCACACATTTCTAAACTTCAGGGAGAAGCTTCCTTAATCTTTTTTTTTTTTTTTAAGCCTACAGCACCTGGTCTTCCTAGGTGGTCTCCCATCCAAGTACTAACCCTGCTTAGCTTCTGAGGTCAGATGGGATTGGGCATGTTCAGGGTGGCATGACCGTAGACCTTAAGTTAAGATTCCTTAACTTAAATGGCATAACAACCACATGAAATATTTTCAAGATTTACTTTTTTAAAAATTTATTTATTTAAATTAGTTTCAAGTATATAGTACATTGGTTAGACACCTATATAGTTTATAAAACGATCCCCCCAATTGCTCCCTCCCTCCACCTAACCATCATATTAATGCTAACTGCATTCCCTCTGCCGTGCTCCCCA